TCATCACATAGATGTTTGGACTTTAATATTTTGTACAAGTAGATGTATTCTTATCCTTTAAAACAAGACACACAAATGGACAGCTAGTTTGACAAATGCATCTAACTCTAGTTGTATCACTTTTTTTTACTTTAAGTTTCTTCTTATTAACTAAAGCATAAAAGCTCGCCACCTCTCTTGCTTCATTGATGTCCTTGAAGGATATTCCCAATTTCAACTCTCTATAATGTTCAAGCCCATTAGTCACAACTCTTTTTTTTTTCTATGTCAATTCCATCAAAGTCATTACTATCATTTTCACTACCTTCCATTTCTTCTAACATGTCATCATCAAGTTCATATTCACAATCAGTCCCAACATCAACATCAACAATATATAACTGAGTGTGATAGATAATATTTGGGATAGACACACTAAGATCATTTTCATCGACGACAAAGAAATCAAGCACCTTGAACTCTTTAGATAAGAGAAATTTAAGTACTTTAATTCCTTCATGATTTTCTACCAAATAATACCTACCAGATGCACCAGTTACCAACAACTGCTTAACAGTAAGATACCCTAGTTTGGAAGTGAATTCTTCACAAATGTTCTTATAAGAAAGTAAATGTGCATCATAACACAGCCAAGAGTGCACAAGTCTTTTATTGTAGACTAGTTCAGGTGAAATGACCCAATTGCCACCATAATGGAATATAAAACATCAACTTCTTCAATCATCTTCAATTAGCACATTCAACAAAAAGAAAAGGGCTTGCTTATGGGTGTGTTGTGCACCACACTTATAATTAGGAGGCTATGAGGCATTTAGGAATGGTTACATTTCTTTCAATTAATAAATCGTGCTATAAAAGCGAAGTTATAAGAACATATGAAATCTAAATCGTGCTTTGTGTTTCTTATCTAACAGGCTACCTACACTCAGGAGATGGCACACCGAGAGATAGGTATGGATCCGGGGGAAGGTACCAGTCGTTCCCCACCGTGTCAGAGGGATAGATTTCCCTTAGAGGCACACAGTGAGTCTCCAATACCCCTAGTTTCAGCTTCCCCAACACTTGTTGGAGCCCAGGGAGATGCAGTACCCCCAGCCCCACCAGTTCCATTAGTACCTGAGGTAGCTAGAGACATAGGACCTCCAGCACCTATTGTTCCCCCATCAGAGAATGGGGAGCAGGGAATGAGAGAGGCTGTTCAGTTGCTGACTAGGATGGTTTCTATTCATGAGCGACAACTAGAGTCGGGAGGAGATGCCCAGAGAGATCGGACAGGAAGCTCGACAGTACGAGAGTTTCTTCACCTGGCCCCTTTATTATTTACAGGATCCAGTTCCACTGAGGATCCCCAGGATTTTATAGACCAAATGTATAGAGTATTGAGGGTTATGTATGCCTGCATCACCGAGGCTATGAAGTTGGCTTATTTTCTACTACGTGATGTAGTCGTCCTATGGTATGAGGCATGGGAGAGATCTAGAGGACCTGATGCTCCGCCATCAGAGTGGTAGGACTTCTTGAGGCTTTTTTAGCCCATTATTTGCCACGGGAGGTTCAGGAGGCCCGTCTTGACCAGTTTCTTAACCCGAAGCAGGGGGATATGAGTGTGAGGGATTATAGCCATAAGTTTAATTCTTTGGCGAGGTATGCACCAAATATTGCACGTACCATGAGGGCTAAAGTTCATCATTATGTGGATGGTTTGGGGGGTCATCTGATTAGAGACTGTAGGGTAGCATCCCTATCGAATGATGTAGATACTTCCGGCATACAGACTTTCGCTCAGACTATAGAGGACCTTTCCCGTCGTATTCGTGATACTCGTAGGGATAGGGAACAGAGTAAGAGGGCTCCTACTATAGGGTCATATAGGGTGCCACAGGGTAATTTTAGGCCCCCACTCCATCGATATCCATCTCGGTCAGTAGGTAGTTTCACACCACAGATGCAGGGCCAACAGTTTGATCGATATATTCCGTCTGGACCGGGGCAGAGCTCCGGCCAGCCTGAGGCCCGTCGATAGGAGCGTTCTGTACAAATGAGACAGCCTATTCCTCCATGTACTCAGTGCGGTAAGCTGCACACCGAGCAGTGTAGACAGGGTTCGAGTGCATGTTATCATTATGGGTAGACATGGCATTTTATTAGCCGGTGCCCGGGGTTAGGCAGAGGTGCACCAGCTCAGCCTTCAAGATCCACAGCAGCCTCTTCGCCCTCAGTCCGTGCTCCCCGACCAGGTCCACAGTCTACTCAGGGCCGTGATAGGGGAAGAGGTGGAGGAGACACCTTAGGTTCTAGTGGTGGCCAGAACCGCTTTTATGCACTTACAGGCCGACAGGATTCAGAGGCATCCCCAGATGTTGTCACAGATATATTGATAATACATTCTCATGCCACTTATGCATTGATAGATCCCGGTTCTACATTTTCATATATTACTCCATTTATTGCTGCTAAGCTTGACATGGGATCTGAGTTGTTGCCACAGTCAGTTGAGGTATCTACGTCAGTTGGCGACTCTATTGTAGCTAATCATGTCTATCGAGATTGTACCATGTTAATTAATGACCGTCCAACCTCTGTTGATTTAGTTGAATTGGTTATGCTAGACTTCGATATCATTATGGGTATGGATTGGTTGGCAGCTTGTTATGCTAATATTGATTATCGTGCAAAGTTGGTCCGATTTCATTTTCCTAGTGAGCCTGTCCTTGAATAGAAAGGTAACTCAACTACGCCCAAGGTAAGTTTATTTCATACCTTAGGGCTCGGAAGTTTATTGCTAAAGGTTGCATATACCATCTGGTTCATATCAGGGATATAGATAAGGAGCCAGCGACTCTTCAGTCGTTTCCTATTGTGAATGAATTCCCGACGGTATTCCCCGATGAGCTTCCAGGAATTCCCCCCGAAAGGGAAATCGATTTCGCTATAGATTTGCTTCCTGATACACAGCCTATATCCATTCCTCCCTACAGAATGACCCCTGCATATCTAAGGGAATTGAAGGAACAACTGAAGGGGTCCACCTCAGCATTGAAAGCAACCGTTCAAAAATAGAGTTAAACCATAAAAAAGAATTAAAAAACATCAACCGCACAAACATATTCATTCTGAGATTGAATTAAAAATCCTATAAAAAGATTCATTTATTAAAGGACCACCAACCCCACTGTCCTACACAAACAGATTTATACTATAATAAACAAACATATAAAGATACAAAATATGTGAATAAACTAATAAGATGGTTGATAACTAGGGATTTTAACGTGTTTTATGCCCCTACTTGCCTATGCTTTGATTATAAATTGCTACAAAATAGTCCCAAAAGGCTCACAAGTTGTACTTGATTGCAGTTTGATCGACAAAGTGACACTACTACAAATAAGACCTTTAGCGGCAATACAAAATGGCCTTAGCGGCAATAAGAATAGCCGCTATAGCCTTTACCGGCCATTATCCTTTTGCCGCTGAAACTGGGGTCGGCAAAGCCTTTAGCGGCTATTCTCGCAAAAGCTGGTAAACGGTCTGTTTTATTGCCACTAAAGGTTATTATCTTTAACGGTAATTATTTGCGGCAATTATAATGACTATTAAATCCAATCCAAAACGGCTAATTATACTTCTTTAGCATCCATTATTATAGCCGCTATATTCAAAATAATTGCCGCTAAAGCAATTATTTGTGGCAATTATAATGGCTATTAAATTCAATCCAAACGGCTAATTATACTTCTTTAGCATCTATTTTTAATAGCCGCTAAATTAAAAGTAATTTCCACTAAAAGTTTACATCTTTAATGGCAATTATTTTGTGGCAATTAAAATGGTCATAGTATCCTTTCTGAAAACATCTTAGTTTGCCCTTTTAGCTTCCATTCTAATGGCTAATATGTTTGCGTAAATTGTCGCTAAAAGTCAATATATTTAACGAAATTTTATTTTACATTAATTATAAATTGTTTAGCCACAATTAATGACAGTTACTACATTTATACATAATATGACTCAAATAATAAAATATGCTAATATTAATTCAAAAAAAAAACATAATGTATCTCATTAATCTTAACAAACAAAAGGAAGTACTAATCAAAAATATTAATATCATAGTAACTTAAAACATAAAAATATATTGTTTAAACAAAATAGATAATGTCATTATATAACTAATCCAAATGATGGTCTTCAAATGATTTCCGTAACTTTTCATCATTTTGAAATCTTTCACCGGCTAAATTATCCAATATCAAACGGTATGACCTGAAACTATAAAATAATTGTGTCAAAAGAATATTGAAAGAACAAAAATATTCCAATAATCTATCACCAAGTGCCTGTATAACATATACATGTGCACATAAGATAAGAAAACGTATGAAGCAATGACAGTATATGGACAATCAACACAAAGCAAGATATAGTAGTTATAACGCAATCAAAGTTGTTGGTGATCCACTAGTTGTTGCTGAACCAGATAATGTGACCTTTAACCCTTTCTCTGGAGCAACCTGGCATGTATATGGACAGGGGCAGAGAAAGAGGGAGAAAACAGTGATTTTCCAAGTGAAAATACTCAAGCACAAAATGAATAAATGCATAACAAAAAGCTTAAACACCTTTATTAATGGTTCAGCAAATATGACAACAAACAGTACTGTTTATACTTACTTTTATACTAATTCTAAAAGCTAAGCACTTTAAATCTAACAAAATTGAATGATAAATACCTGAAACCTTATTGGACATAACATCAAGCTTCTCTTCTAAATCCTGCTTTTGAGAAGTTAGTGCAGATATGCGCGCTTGCTCCTCCACTAACTACTGTCTTTCTTGTTGCCTCAACATGGTCACTTGCTGTAATTTTAAAATGGTATAAAATAAAGCAATAAGAGAGAATCCAGACAACATAAACAAACAATGTACCTCTAATTGAGATTTGAGATTTGCTAGCTCCTTCTCCATAACATGCATATGATCTGGCGAAAAATTCATTTTACACCACTAACAGGACTGGACATTGCTTGCTGCTGTAATGAGTTAAGTTCTGCTCTTAGTGCTGCTGCATCCTCTTCAGCCTAATCCCAAAAGGATTCAAAATGTATTAAGGTATACTATTCCACTACTACTCATTTTAATGCAAGAAAATATATGCATACCCGATATTGTTCCTCTTCTACTTCCTTCACACGTTTCTTAATTGCACGAAGTTGAGCTGAAAGATCCTCCTATATTTGAAACAGGGTTCATATGAAAAATAAATATAGAGCAAATATAAGGCTGAAAGAAGCTATGGAATGGTAGTTGAAATGATATGTACTCGTGCAACAACTGCTGCATCCTTTTCCATGGCAACATCCTTGAGTGCTTTTCTTAATGAAGGAACAGTGTTTTGCTCCTGCACTTTGAAAGAAAAGTAAGTGAAGCCACCCATCTACTAAAAAGAGGCCTCAAAATCTTACATAAATTCCCTTTTCTTCCTCCTTTGAGCGAATGATAAGACAAATTTCAGAGTGGTTTATCATCTAAGGAAAAGGATCCAAATGTGCGGACATTCTCCCTCAGTCCCATTTTATGTGGAGATCTTTGACTAGGCACGGAGTTTAAGAAAGAGAGAAGATAGACTTTGAAGTTTAAACAAGTCATATGCATTTGTATGGGCTATAAAGGGTAAAATTAATAAATTTTAAGTTAGTTTGTTCCTAAATATAAAAAAGTAACATTCCTTTTCTTGACAAACTAAAAAAGAAAAGAGTGTTGCATGAAACGGGAAAGAGGGAGTATTTCAATAGTGAAAGAGCAACTAAGTACTATTGATGTACTAATATCTTAAATTTAAAGTAAATATGTGGCATCATGACATCATCCATATAAGAATAGTGCTAGGTTATGAGATAAAGACCGTGTCATAAGGTAATGATATTTGTTTCATATTCCAATATCTATTACTAACAGTAACAATGTCCACTGGTTACATCATACTTCATCAAAGTCCTTATATTCACTCCTAATACTTGTTAATTATTGGACAGACAGTAAGAAGCATGCCCAACTAGTAGACTAATAGTGTGTAAGTGCTAAATTGTATAAAAACTTATGCCCTACGAGAACTCAAAGGTTGCAGTGTAATAATGTATTGTCTCACCCTGTCCGCTAACACAGATTTTAGCCCATCACAAAGTCTGCGGATGGTTGGGATATAAGGTTCAGACGGAACCTGAATGATTGGGAGCTGGAGGAGGTTGCAGAATGTTTTAAGACACTTGAAGATGGCAAGAGTTATCTGATGTAAAGGTCATTTTGGCGTGGAAATAAAAGAGGAAAGCGGTGTCCACAGTAAAATTCTGCTACAAATCTCTTACTGTAACAGAGATAACAGTGCAACAAAATGGAAGACAATTTAGAAATCCGAAGTACCATATAAGGGGCTTCTTTCTCTTAAATATGTAGTTCACCAAGCATGTTTGACAAAAGAGAAATTCCAGAGAAGAGGAATTCAGCTCTACAATAGAGGCTATCGACGTGGAAAAGGGGCCGGAGAACATCAAACACTTATTTTTGCATTATGCTACAGTAAGACACCTATGAACTCTCTTCCTAAACAACTTCTGGGTAAACTGGACTATGCCAAACACCTGAGATGGAGGAGTACTACTACTGTGCTCACAATTTTGGCAAGACAAAGTGTTTCGCCTGTCTTTTCCAGGTTTCCATATTTATATATTTGCAGAATTGATAGCTTGTTCATTTGGCTGTCCAAATAACTTTTGCTACATTTCAGCCTGTTATAGTATTTCCACTGCATGAAATATAGATTCCAAGATGCGGTTCGCACAACTAATAAGATCTTAAGACATTAAAAATCAAAGAAACATTTTCAATTTTAATAACTCATAGCCATAATTTGTCCAGGATGTGGTTCACACAACGCATACAAATGAAGCCAATTATTCTGCTGTAACAGTTGCCACAACAAACTCTTTTACAAAAAAATAACTAGCAAAACAAAGCCAAATAGTATTTCATCCGAAAAGAAATATAGATTCCAGGATGCGGTTCACACAACTAACAAGATCTTAAGACACTCAAAATCAAAGAAACATTTTCAATTTTAATAACTCATACCTATCATTTTGGAGGGGAAAACATCAATTTGTCTGGGCCTGCTCTTACCCAACAAAGTAGTCCCACAACTAACAGAGCTTTTAACTAACAAAGCTCTTAACTAAGAAAAGGTTCACCAAGAAGCATTAGCAATTGTTTTAGTTAAGAACAAACTCAGCCAAATTCACACATACTAGCAAATGAAAGCTATCATCTAATATTATGCATAATCATATTGTAATATTATAGAAGCATTACCTGAATCCTCATCATGTTGAATCTCAGTGCCACCATCAGAACTATTCAACTCATTAGATTGACCATCACGTGCTTGGGCGTCAGAGTAGTTCTNAATCGTCATCATGTTGAATCTCAGTGCCACCATCAGAACTATTCAACTCATTAGATTGACCATCACGTGCTTGGGCGTCAGAGTAGTTCTGACTATCCATCAACTGCTCAATATATGGCGGGCTCTAGAGTAGTTTTGATCATCCATCAAGTGCTCAATATAAGGTCTCACATCTTCATCTTCATCTTGTTCAACTACCAGTCGGTTGCGGCCTCTAGTTTGCATACTACTTTTTTCAAAATACAGAAACTATCTAGCTGCATTAAGTTATACTAGTACCATATTAACTCCAACCAATCAACAGGTCACGCACAAAATAGGAGGAATCATCATCCTCATCTCGAGATGCGAAAAATAAATGAATAGGAAATCGTGCATACAAACAAAGCCTTGCGACAAAGATAGTTAAAGAGATAAAAGGAATTGATGCACCAGCAAAAACTATTGTCCAATTATAATAGCACCTTAGTATATGCTTGTATTGGTTGATTTTCCAGAATATCTTAATGAGAAGCCCATCCTCCTAATAACATCAAGGAATGGACAAAAACAATAGATAAGACAAAGAAAGGAAAAGGTTTACTACTAATTGTGCCATCAAGTACGTATCACAATCAACACACAACTGCATAAAATTTCGTATTTGTATAAGCCAAAATAAAATGTGTATATCCAAAATGAAGGACTTTATGGAGTAGCAACAGAAAGTAAATTCCAAAGCTCAAGAAGGAAGTAGGTACATCCCAAGCTATTGTCTTATAACAACTTCAACTAATACAAGATAGTTAACACAAGTATTACAAAAGTCTGTCACAGATGATTAAGCCATCAATTGCATTATCTTTTGCATTGATGAAAAGATTGGTCTTTAAATCCTGAGAAAATGTAATATACCTCAATCAAACATGAAAAATACAGGGGATTCAGTTTAAATACTTTTCTGAGACTATAGACTAAACATGAACAGTTAAATTTTCTTTCAGACAACAAATATAACATTACAAATCTTTTGCAGTACATTAATGTTAAGGTAGACCATGATATTCACTCAATTCAATGTCAGTTCCTGGATGATAACAAATCACTAATTCTGAAGATTGTTGAGAGCTAGAACTCTAGAAAACTAAGTGAATGTGTAGAGTAAGTTCAGTGTATAATAAGTTTAAAAGTATGGTAACATTGTTGAAACTTGATCATAGAATATAAATTGGTAAGAATTTTTGCTAACTCTTTTGGTATGGAGAATTCAGAAAAGTAAGTTCAGTATATCATAAGAATTCAGAAGTCCTTTTACATCAGCACGATATATAAAGGTGAAGGCTCCGCGGCCGCGATTCAGTTTTAGCGGCCCACGGTGAAGGCTCCGCGGCCGCACTACCTTTCTATGCGGTCCGTAGTCCATTCCACGCGGTCCGCGGAGCCTAAGATCAGAGAAGCCAAATTTGAAGTTACAGAGCCTAGTGCGGCCGCGATCCATTTTATGCGGCCCGCACTGATCCCGCAGGGGTATTTTTGTCCAATTTTTCTAGCCTAGTATAAATAGAATATTTTACTATTTTTAGGTCATCTGTGTACTGTAGAACGCAGCAGCACTCATGAGAACATGATTTGTAGCCATTTTTGGCATCTTAGCTTCAAATTAACGATAGATTCTTGTAATTTAATTTAGTATTTTATTATTATGTCTTGTTCTTCATCTATTTTTTCAGTTTTTTCTTCAAGCATGTGTAGCTAAACGCATTAGCTAGGGTTGTGGCTCAACCCTAGTGTGGGTAATTAATGGGTATTGCCATCTAGGGATAGATTGACTATGGGTGTTTGCTATTTGGGTTGATTTTATGTTTTAATCTATGAATTGGTGGTTGCAAACACTGATTTGAGCTTTGTGGGTTTGACTTTTCTTGAGAAAGAGAGTCTAAGCCCCCAAAATTGACCCAACAAGGAATTGGGATGGACTCATGAGAAATGATAGTCCCAATTAACGAGTTAAGCCTCGACAGAGTAATCATCCTACTTGAACCCTAGTTGCTTGATTTAATTTGCCTACCCAATTGGTCTCGAGAGAGTTAATTGGGCAAAATCACTTTTTCTACCGAGAGGTGTGAGAGTGGGTACAATTGTGCAACGGTTATAGCATAAGCCCTAAATATGTCAATCTATCCTTAGTAACATCTACCCGTCAATTAACCACCTAGGTAATGTCACGACCCTAGTGCCTTTTTCCCATTAGATACAACTTTAGCAATTATCTCGTTGGATAATCTAGTTTTAATTAGTAGTATGTTAATCGTAGTTTACAATCAAATAATAGAGAGATATTTTAGGATGTCCTATTTCATATAATAGAGAGATATTTTTAGGCCCTTTTCCGTTTATAAAAATACCATGTGAAAATTATCGAAAACAAATAATTCAAAAATATACTTTTATCATGATAGTTTGTAAAATAATACAAATTGGTTAATTAAATCTTTTGATCTTTTATAGATATAAGAATTATGAGGTTGGCCTATAGCTCCTAAAAAAATTAATAAGAGTGACAATATAAATTTTAAAAATGACTTAATATTGAGTTAATATTTTATAACAAATAATTTAATGTAGAAAAAATATAGGGGGATGTTATTTTGGAATATTTACGTAAAAGAAAAAAAAATTAATGGCAACTCATTTGTAATACATGTTATATATTTTTCTCCCGCATTTATTGTAAATTTTGGCCTTTAAAATTTTCATACTATACATAACTTTTAGATGGTCAAAATGAATTAAAGTTATAAATAGTTAAAACATGGATTACACTTTTATAATAAAAGTATTTTTTTTAAGAAACTAATTATATAAATTCACGTACATAATATTTAACTTGGAAGAAATCTTTATGGAACTTTTGCTTTATCAAATATATGTGTGTGCCTAATTGTATGCCTACATACAATAACC